TTCAAATCTGGTCTCATAGCCAACGCAATAAGTAGTAAATAAATTAATATGTGTATGAATAAGTTTTTTTTTTTGTAAAAAACTGGCGTTTAACAAGAGAAGTGTCACTAATTTTGAATATTCCCGAAAGCTAGTATTGTCCATTCACTACTTTAGATGGAAACGGAATTTTCAATAACGTTAACCAAGCATTACAATAAGTGAAGCTTGGCAAACGATTTAAAGAATGAATATAAAGTTAATTTTTTTTAAAACTATCAATTCTGGTTACCTCAAAGAAAAAAGAGCAGAGTTCTAGCGCATGTGATCTTTGTAATCCTCTAACTAAAACCCAGACATGAGCTATGGAAGACTGTATGGTAATTTCGATGTCAAAGATGCACCTGGTTTTGCTGTGTGTTTGGTGGGATTGGCAAGGAATCATCTACTACGAGCTGCTCCCCTATGGCCAAGCGCTCAATTTGGCCCTCTACCAACAAATGGACCGCTCGAAGGCAGTACTCAGCCAGAAAAGGCCATCTTTGTTCAACAGAGGCCGAATTGTGTTCCATCAGGACAACGCCAGGTCACACACGTCTTCGGTGACGCGCCAGAAGATCCAGGAGTTCAGATGGGAGCTCGGATCCTAATGTACCCACCTTATAGTGCGAACCTGGCACCAAGTGATTACCATCTTTTCCCGTCTATGGCGAACGCGCTTAATGGTGAGGAGTTAGCATAAAAAGAGGCCTGTGAAAATTGGCTTTCCAAATTTTTTGCCAATAGAGACGAAGCCTTCTACGAGAGGGAAATAATGAAGTTGGCATCTCGTTGGCGACAAATTTACGAACAAAAGGGCGCATATTCGACTTAAATCGGACATATTTACACAAAGTTATCATATATCACATCAAAAATCAATAAAAAAAAATCCGAACGAACCTTTTACTTCAACTATGTTTAATATTTCGAAATTGACATCGCTAGTCCCAATTTTCCAGAATTGTCTTCTTATGGATGTCGCCTCCGATAAGGCAATTTGGAACGTTGCACATTTTTTGATATCTCGGAAGAGACTTCTCATCGTGAATTTAGCTAATTTGTGGTAATCGAGTAAGTAAGACATCCACAATGTGGTCTGATGAAAGCGCGTGGTGTTGAGAAGGTGAGGTAAAGTATTACAGCTCGAAGTAATAATTTTGTAAGTATCACACCACTCATTTATGGAGCCAGAAAACATCTCGAATCGGCATTACCCAGATCATAACTTCCATCTGGTTGATGTCATATTCCAATATCATTCGGACCGATATACAAAATAAAACAGACAGACGAGATCACTCGTGCCTCCAAACCGTTTGATGCTCTCTATGAAATTACATATACGTTATCTTTCTCTACAAAAGCCAATCAACCTGATTCATTTCAAGTCGTCTACGAGTATATCTGGTTTGTAATAAACCCGGACATTCACAGAGTAAGTAGAAAACTGTTTTCTTAATTCCCTTCTAGTTTGCAGCTGCGGAAAATATTGTTATGGGACAGATATTCATGCCATGCGCATGCCCTCCAAATGGCTAGTGCACTATTATATTGGCTGTAAGTCTGTTTGTAGACCCTCTTTAGCCGAGAGGTTAGCATTGCGTTCTGCCATTCGGATGGTTTGGGATCCTGGTGCGTCACTTACATCTAAAAGTTATAGAAAATTAATTAAAAAAAAAATAAGATAAAAATAAGTTAACTTTTCGAATTGCGGTCGCCCCTAGGCAGGGAATGTCCAGCCCTCCGGGTATATTTCTTACGTGAAATAAAGGCTCCTCATAAAAAACCATCAACCGTTCTCTCCATTTGTTTGAAACACATCAAGACGCAAAACCATAAATTAGAGGAGGAGCTCGGCCGAAAATCGCTTCCGCGGTTGCAAAGCGCCAATGATGTAAGTCTGCATATACTATTACAGGACCTATTAAATAAGTCCTCAGATCTTGTCTTACTTGCTCACGCCCTATCTGTTTCGTCATCCCGCATTTGGTTTCATATAGTATTTCCAAATGTTCTGAATTATTTCTTCAAATTGTGTATAAAGCTCTCTCGTTTGATCGTCCTTAGCGGGCGTGTCATTGACTCTGTTTCGGATACGTTTAGAGAACCTCCTTACTTCGCCAACTCGTTTGATTTTGCAGTTGGAAATCTTCCTATGACCGGCTACATAGGTTAGGAATAAATTTGACCTGCGAGTGAGCTTTAAACTTTCCTGGAACTGAATTAATCTTTGCCAACAACCTCCCGATATGCCTCCTTGCTGTCTGTATGTTGTTGCAAGCTGAGTTCGGTAGAGACATTGAGAGACAAATGTCCATACCCCTCGAGTATACCACCGTGGGGGTCTTAAGAAATTTGACCTCGCCAAAAAAAAAATGTTCTTCTCGCTGTGCGAAATCCACAATTTTGAGCATTTACTAGATCCTTTCAACATGAGCTAAGACTAAGTAAACTAAAGTTACTTAACAAAAGATTTAAATTGACTTAAGAGTGTTGACGTAACTGAATTTCGGCTACCAGAGAGCAGAAGAAAAAAAATTCTCTCAAAAAAAAAAAAAAAAAAAAAAAAAAAAAAACAAAAGGACTTAGGTTACAAACATCTGTGGTATGAGGATATAAAAATGTTTGTACAAAANAAAAAAAACAAAACAAAAAAAAAATATTCTCCATCCAACAACTGCGCGAAAATATAATATTTTCTCTTATTGCTTTCAGGTGTTTTCAATATTTGTTTGCTGTCAAACGCCACTTCGAGCACCAACAAGTACAACCAGACAAGTGTTAAGTGTTTGCCGCGCGCACACTCACAAGCCGCCTGAGGAGTGTCCTTAACATCCTTACGCCACATTCAAGTGCGAATATTACTACAAGAGTGCAGAATGCACACATACATACATATGTACATAAGTATAATTCATTATGCAAATTTTCTTGCCGCTACAGCCACTCAAACAAGCAGCGATACAACGTGGCTAAACTGTCGCCATGAGCAACAAGGATGAATGGAGTGTCGCGCCATAACCAGTCAAATATTGCTGCTGTGATATTACAAGCTTATAAATACATACATACATATGGATATGAATGTTTATGTATCTGTAATAATTGCCTGCAAGGCGCATCAGAGAGTTGTATAATATATTAAAAATATATGTATGTGCATGCCACAAAAGGGGATGAAAATCTGTAAAAATGTTAAGGATAATGGCTTTTAATTTGGTGTACATTTGTATGTGCATATATATGTGTGTGTGTGTTTGTCATTTTACTTTTTAATTTTCTGCGCTTCTTTCGCGCTTGTATTTTTACATTATGATGATGACGGGTATGACAAGATTTTGTTTACTTTTTCCCGCTTTTTTATTTGTTTTTTTTTTTAATGCTGCAACAACATCACTTCCATGCCAAAACTTGCTTCTTTATTGTGTTTGTGTGGCAGCATGGCATCAATATTTGTCTGATTTTTGGTGAAGAGGCGTTTAACTTACATTTTTTAATACTTTTCATCAGGCTTATCATCATCAGCGCTGACTGGTTGATGGCAGACAATGATTGTGGCGCTACTATTGTGTCAGCTGGAGGTTAAGAGGGGTGAGAGAGACTGATAGAGAGAGGGAGAGATAGGCAGAAAGAGTATCAAAAGTAGCGACATCATCATTATCGTTCAACACAACTGCGATTTACTGGCATTTCCTATTATATACGCCTTTGCTATCTGTACTGTACCATCAGTGGTGTTATTTTGTGCTCAGCACTGTGCGCCGACACGCACTGAGACTGGCAATTGCACTTCTACCATCTTGTTTATAGTTATACGTTTCAAATTGAGATATTTTGGGTTTGAATCTTAAAGTAAATTTTAATTAAATAATATTAAACTTACACCAACACAGCAACTATAATATGTAGTAAGAGCGATCGTCAGTTAAATCTGCTTCTTCACTGATTGAAGGAAACTCCACATAAAGTCTCATTTAATTTTTTATTTTCTCTTCAATCACCAAACAAACAAAAAATTTGAATATTTTTTAACTTAAACTCCAACTTCAACGACTCTCCTCTCATTCCATTTGTAATTTTCTATGTCTTTTTTGCACATGTAAAAAAAAATTGCAAAATTGCCAAAACGCGTTAATGCCACTCACTCTTCAATCAAACTTCAGACATTCAGCCATTCATCCTTCCATTCAGCCATCCATCCATTCATGTATCCAACTACTTTTGACTTTTCACTCGATTGATCGATGATGATGATGAGTATTTATTCAATCGTATATTTCTTCTTTCCCTTTACCTTTCCGTTTACATTTTTTTTGTTTTTTGCATTTTAAAATTCATCAACTTTGTACACTTGACTGCTTCGCTTGCCTCCCACGAATCTTTTGGCAGTTGTGCTAATATTTTCTTTGCATATTTTGCGGCGCTAATGTTATGCTGCTTGGGGTTGCGAAAATTTCTTGGCTATGATACTCTATACTTACTGTTATATGTTTTCAAACATATTTACATATGTACATGAGTACATACATACATATATTCGTATGCTATATATGTACATACATCATATATATGTATGAGTATATGCCGATAAATAATTCCTTACGTACTTTTTGACGGCAGTTGTTACAGCAAATGATTTTGTGATTATTTATTTTTGTTTAGATTATTTTCAAAAGCTTCTAATATTTCCTAGTCTGAAAATTGTGAAAAATATCGCGCATAGGTTTTTGGAGGTTAACCGAATCCTACTTGAAACCCTGCCTGTGAGACATGTTCATACTAGCATTTCCGCATCAAAAGCCTTCCACCCATTTCTTTGGTTTGGATAGAAAGATTGCGCAGAAATATCGAAAACTTACACAATCACTATAGAAAAAGAGCGTTCTCATATAGACAAAGAGAGATGTCGTTCTACAGATAGTGACATCGCTAAGAGTTGGCATGTGGGTATGTGGCGATCCTACTTTCATCACGCGCTGTGAATATCAGATCAATGTTGGATCAGTGCAAAGATCACACTGCTGCTAAGGCCTAACTCGTTCGTTGACAACGTATGTTAATCTTTCACAAAATACATTACGTTAAGAATGACTTTATATAATATATTGCGGAGTCTTATCAGTTTGGCAACTTGGGCAGGGAATACTTAGGTTTCCTCACCTCTTTAGTTTCATATCTCAGGCTGTAAGGGCATTGCGTCCGGCCACTTTGTTATTCTTCTTTATAGTCGAGTGATGATACCTCTATACCGTCTTATCGATTAAAGCTTCTGGTTCGCCATTCCCGGATGTTTTGGTAAGACCTCAATTTTCTCGAATATTCATCCACTTACTTGTTTCTTACAGCAAACAATTCATGTCTTAAAATATTTTAGAATACTCCCTCATAGAATTTTGGATGGCCTATCATGTCGGCGATTTTCTCTATTTCTTTATACTCATGCATCTCACTTAAACTCTCGGTATCTACCTCTCGTCGCACGTGTGTTGTTTGATCTCAAAGTTATGGATAGGCAGTCTGCTTTCTCTCCACTGCGAAACGGTCAGTCTCCATTGTACCAGCTGTTTTTGCGATCTCTCCGAAATCCCATAGGTTCGTTTGCTGCTATACGTATGGAGTTTGTAATGTCGTCCCAAAGTTCCATATACTGATAAGTACGCTCGACGCCGAGCTTTCCTTGTGTTTGTTGGCGGGCGTTTTTTGATACACAAAGGGCCATCGGAGTGTACGCACCTCAAGAATACTGGAGACATATCTACCATCTATCTTATCATACTATGATCGATTTGGCTTGGTTCGTTTCGATCAGGGTACAGCCAAGTAGCTTAATGAATTTTCTTCTGTCGAAATCTGGACCTGACCGAAACAGTTGGTGAATGTTTCGTCATGGAGGGTGAATTTCCCGGAGTGTTATGCAAAAATACCTTCATTGCCCACGGCGTGTGCATCGAGCAGAGTTTCTTACTAGTTGATCATAGCATGCATCTCTGGTCGCAACGTCTTTTACTTCCGTCGGAGTGTGCGGCAAAATCAGCGATATGTTAAAAAATTTTGCTCTGATGCAGATTATGATCCGACGTCCATCTGAAGGAGCTATAGTGTCTCTCTAAAAAGTGCTTATTCTTTTCCGACCTTGTAAAACCCATCATTCTTCTTGGCGGAAACCGCAAATTCAAGGTGCATGCCCTCAAATAATGAACCTTCAAACGCTGCAAAGGGTCATCATCAAAAATGTCGTCTACTATCCGAGGCATATTTTGATCTTTCATAAGACCTGCGGAGTTAATAATATTGCAAGGAATATATCTTCGCAACGGTTTATTTATGGCAGAGGAAACCAAGAGGGACGCATCAAATATTTCGCATAATTTTATCCTTGAGGTCTCTTCTGGAGTTCGTGTTTAAGTTGGTGGGGAATCCAGTGAAAAGTTGAGGGTGAGCCAGCTCTTCAAGTGTACTTCTGACATGAAATAAAACAACTTCAGATGAAAATTTGTCAGCCGTTCGGAGATCTTGTTGGAAAACCTACCTCTAATTGGGGGAGGATATCCGAATCGGATTCTTTTAGGCTACCTCTGGTTCATCGATATCAATGACAATAACCGCAGATGCTTACTTGCTTACTTTGTGTTATGATGTGCAATGAGCGATCGGGAACTTGCTGCACGTGAAATTTTGTTACTCAAATTTTTCAATTTTTTTTTTTGGAAAATTTAGTTAGGAATGACGTTTGTAAAGAAAAAAAGAAAGAGAAATAATTTATGGGAAAACTCTAAAGTGTTTGCGTATCAAGACTTTAGAGTATAGTTATCATAAAGTAATAGATCCATAGGGTCCTAGGAACACTTCTCGCGCACACATGGCTGGGTCCGCTGTGCAGCGTAATTAAGCCAATGCCCTCAGCTTGCATTACAGTCAACCGTATAACAAAGAAATTACACTGACTCAGCACAGAAAGCTTTAGAAAGACGGGACGTGGCATCAACACAACCCCTTCGCCTGCCTCGAACCGCCTTGACACGACTCCTTTGATCTTATCGGTTTTTTCTATATACAAATATTTACTTAAGGAAATTTCATATTCGCTTTTATTATAATAATAAATGTAGTTAAATGTTTTTGTACATAAATAAATATAAAGATGGTTATGTTGATAAGCATAAATTACCATAGAGCCATGACACTGCTTGGCAATTATATGTCAGCATATGTCTGTATGTCCGTTTGTCGTTGTGTGTGTACGTCTAATCTTCCAATAAATTTCGGTGTTAAATACTTGCACGCGTCAAATATTATGCGACATTAGAACGATATTGTTGTACTACAATAACACATATACATACATATTTTTATATGATTTTATATGTATGAGTATATGTATATACATATGCGTTTATAGATATTACGACAGTCGGCCTTGGGGGGCATCACATTACTAAATATCCTTTTGATATGCATAGCGACTTGTCACATGCGTAATTCCCATAACAACAGCAACAACAACAACAACAACATGAACAACTGTAATTTCAGCAAACACATGCTAATACATATATATACATACCCCGAGAAAAGAAAGCGATTGCGCTGCCGATTTGTATTGTATTTGAAGGAATGAATTTTCATAATTTGACACCCGACCATCAGCCAGTCGCCAGTCGCTGCGTCGCTGTATCACCCGCTCGTTCCTTCGCTGGGTTGGGAATATTTTTTAATCATATTAAAACTAATCCCTTAACAACTTCCGCGTGTCATGGCCATTACATGGTTATAAATGTGAAAAGGATATGCGTATTTATGTTTACATGAAGAATTTTCGGCAAACATTTTTGAGAAAATGTGTATAGGAATATATATACATATGCATGTTACTATAGTAGTAGGTATGTATGTATTTGGTGCTGATGACGAATCAATGACTCTCGCTTTTTTCATAGTGTCGCAAATATTATACAAAGGTTTCTGTTGAAAAAGACAGCTCCTTTATTGCTTATGTCTGTACTAGCCTCGATACCCCTGGCTTATTTTCTTCACGAATTGTAGTCCTTCCTCATATTCTTTCCATCCATGAAAAGTCGAGTTAAGGTCTCCCAATTGATGCGGCTTAACATTTTTATAGCCGGCTCAATGTTAATTGGGAAAGGACACCAAGGAAATCCTTCTTCAACACAGCGCAGGCTTTCCTAATCTACTGCTAGAGAAAGCTGGAGAGATTTCGACTACCCAAGCGAATGCAAAAGCCCCAATTTGAATCACTAGACTCCATCAATATGCACGTTTATCCAATATAGTCTGCTGGTTCATACCAAAATCTCACTCTGGAAAACTTTTAACATCAGCTCGTTGGATGTTTTCATCTTCTCAGCCTCTGTGTGATACAGCAGCATGAGTTTGATGGTGGACTTATTAGCCTCTGTTGATTTATGTAGCACCCACACTCCCTGTTAAGAAGCATAATATTGCAACCATAACTGCTGAAAGCGGCACCAACACCTTGGCATACCAGGAAGAGGGTACTCAACTTGATGAACTCCATTCGGTAGAATGTAAAAAACCGCTGTTCAGGACGGCGTACCAATAGGCCTTAAATGCCGACAGTCGGTTAAGACCTTCTGTAGCTCTTTCGGTAAATGGCGTTCTCGAAGTCCAATCACCTCCCATTGCAGACGAATTGCTTGAGCTACCTTACGAGACCCGATTAATACTGGTACATTTATCACCTGAACTCTGCGTGCAATGAGCAACACAATAACCATCTCCTTGCAACTAACCCCATTTTCCCTATTTGGACGCTTCTCTTCGATCACCTCGTCAAAATAGTCTACTTTTGCTTGTTTCTAGATGGTCTGAGCAAAACTATACTACAACAACAGCAATAACTTACTGTCCCTGTTCGTAGAGAGAGGATTTATTAATTAATTTTGCTTTGGCTATTCACCCAGCCCGATGTAGCACGCCTAAATGAGACGGATTCTGGGTTGGATTTATTTATAGTAAATTATTGTTTACAGTTCCGAGAATCTTCCTAGTTTTCTACACCACATGAAATGTTAGGAGTTGAACAGCATTGGGAGGCGAAATTTTTTCCGGGTTCTTAAACACCAGATCTTCCTAAATCACGTCGACCATATACAATATATATCCCACCAGGCTTTCGAGGTCCGATATGTACCTTAACTGTGGACTGCTAATGCGCAGGCGGAAACCATGAGCCCGACAATATTGATCCAATCAATAGTCTTGCCCTCAACATATGGTAATCGTCTATTTGTTATTTTTATAAGGGTGATAGCGGTGATAACTTAGGCAGTCTAAATAAGAGTAGTTTGCTTGTAACAATACCATGACTTCCTGGATCTCGATAAGTTCGGACTAGAAGGAGAGGGTTATTAATTGACTTGGTTTAAGAATACTGTGTGGCTAGTGTTATGTGGAGACTCACTGCAATGGAAAGTATTTAACCTCTAGCTATATCCAGATTACAGTTAAGACAGCATTCCACGAGTCTCTTCAGACTGTACTAGCTTTTTGCCTGCGATGGATACTACTGGCTTCTCAAAGTTATTTTTCATGGAGGGAGAGTTGATTGAGAGTTTGAAAAAAAGTCATTCCTGACTGTATATAACATAAAAATGTAAATGAGATAGCAGCAAAAGCCGCACATCGTTTAAGCGTATCACACCGATGGAGCACTCCACAGTCGGAAATAGCCGAAAAAAGTACTCTTGGCTGATTGTGTGGAGTGTCGGTGAAACACCATCGGTTAGCGGACCTTTGTCGTGTTTTTCAGACGAAAATCTCTGCTATTATGATGGCAATAGAAGACTGCTTCAGAGATATGGATATCAAACAGGCAGACTCTCTAAAATTGTGCTAGAATTCTCCACCGTTTTCTGGGCAGAAATGTAACAGCAGGAGATCTTAGGGAATGAGAGCATGTATCCATGGCGCTAGGAATTGTGACAGGCCATGAATGAAGACTGAACAACATGCAGAGATCTAGGCGCTACTTACTTATAACTTAAGGTATGGTGTGGAACCTGCAAAGATGATGAGTAAAATGCAACGATCTTATACTTTCTGCTCTGCTCTGCTTAGGGCAGTGCCTTCTTTCGATATTTCAGCACCATATTACATGTTGATCTATTTATTCAAGATAACTGACGTCGAGGTTATTGGTCTAATGAAGTTTATTAGAGATTCGAAGTGGTTGTGTAGCAAAAACTAAAGGCCAGAGAGTTGTAGTATCATTAGGGGACTTACTTGTCATCGGCAACCTAACTTAACACTTTCAACGAACTTCGTGCGAGTTTCATCAAGTCAACGCAGATTCTGCTTAAATTTTGCCGAACAGACCACTTCAACTTGTTTAAATTCAAATTTAAATTTATATTTTTACATTTAATTTCTTCTTATATTTTTTCCATAATTTTTTATAACTACTTTTTGTAGTAAAATGACATCTATAATTAAAACTTCAAATGAATATAAAATTTCAAATATTTTTTCCGCAAATTTAAGTAAAAATTCAGGGCTCTCAGTAAATTAAGCAGAATTATTTATGTATAATTTTTTTCTTATGATTTGTTGACAAAAAAAAAAACAATACAAAAAAAAAAATAAACAAAGAGGACTCAACCAATTTCGCAAATATTTCGAGTACCATTTCACTTTGCCATTGAGAGTTTTGTCGAATTTTTTTCATATACAAAGTTGCCGGAAAAAATTTGCTAAAAAATTTATTATCCATAGATTTTTGCTTTGCTTTTACTATGTACATATGTATGTGTGTATGTGTGCATGTATGTATGTTATATACACAACAGATTTTTTGGGTTTTGCATTGTCATGATGCGCTTTCACGGCTCAACTGCTGTCCCATCAATAATTGCATTTCATTCTGCACGAAAAAAAATGAATAAAAAAAAATTGAAAAAAATATAATAGAATAAAAACAATAAAAAAAAATATGTAAATAAATAAAAAGTCATATTTAAATAAAATAAATTTGCAATTCGCAGGAGATAAAGTCATAACGGACAATAACACTTCAGCGCTTCAATGAACACTACAACGAGTGCACTACATGCTCAATTGACGGATCCTTGGATATTTAGAAGAAAAAAAATTATTTTCAATTTCTTTCATTGAAATTACAAATGCAATTATTTAGCTCTTCGAATGAAGGTAAATCTAGAAAGTCATTTCGATTCATTTCGATTCCAATAAAGTCAAAATTTAATTTCAAAATCTGAAAGGAAGTTAAGATCTTCTTAAAAATGTTTTTTTTTTCTTTTTCTTGTGCATATAAAGGAACTATAATTTGGAATGTCTTTGGTACGTGAAGGTCCTTAGTGTTTAAGAAAACCATCTTTAGTTGACGTTACGAAAAATTGCTTTCCAAACCTCCATTAATGCACGAAAATTGATTTCTTCCGGTTGGCGCCTGAACCTTCGAGTACCAGATGAAAGCGCAGTAGAGCATTTGAGCTACTTGAATTCTATGAATCGATAGACATTAACTGAGTACTTAACAACGAATCACATCCTTCTTATGGTGTCTCGATATAGTAAAATTCTAGTATACGAGGGGATTAACAAAAGTTCGGTTAGTTGACCAGGGAAAATAAAGAAAATCTTTTTGTATTTATTTATTCGTAATCTTCGTAATTTTTTTAACTTTTCTATATAATCGCCATTACTTTCAATATATTTCTTAAGCT